CTCTCTCTTTGTATATACCAGGGGTCGGCAACGTACGGCATGCGTGCCAAACACGGCACACCAGTCGATTCTGAGTGGCATGCAGCTCCCTGCCGCGGTCCCGGCCCCCCGCCCCACTCAGTGTCCCCCCCTCCCCCCGCCCACCGCTCTCCCCTGTGGGGGCAGGAGGCAGAAGCTTGGTTCTGCAGCAGCCAAGCTTCCCCCCTCCCCCTCTTCTTCCCCCAGCGGTGCTTTCCTGCCCCTCCTCCTCTCCGTCCCTGCACCAATCAGCTGATGGCCCTAGCGAGGGGGAGGGGGAAGAGCAGCAGTGTGCACACAGCTCCGTAGAGCAGGCAGAGAGAGGTAGGGACGGAGCCTGGGGGAAGGGGGTGGAACAGGGCATATCCCTTCCAGCCCCCTGCCATGAGCCCCCCAGCCCTCTGCCCTGCACCCCCCACACACCCCAGCCCTCTGCCCTGAGCCCCCCCACCCCAACACACACCCAGCCTTCTGCCCTGCACCCCCACAGCCCCATCCCTCTGCCCTGAACCCCCCCACACACACTCAGCCTTCTGCCCTGCACCCCCACAGCCTCTGCCCTGAACCCCCCCACACACTCAGCCTTCTGCCCTGAACCCCCCCACCCCAACACAGACCCAGCCTTCTGCCCTGCACCCCCACACACCCCCAGCCCTCTGCCCTGAACCCCCCACACCCCAACACACCCAGCCCTCTGCCCTGACCCTTGACCCCCCCCCCCCCCAGTCTGGAGTCCCGGCCATAGGCCCTGCTCAGCCCACTGCCGGCCTAGGTGAACAGAACCCCAGGCTGGCAGCGAGCTGAGCAGGCTGGTGGCGTAAGATCAGCATTTTAATTTAATTTTAAATGACGCTTCTTAAACATTTTGAAAACCTTGTTTACTTTACATACAACAATAGTTTAGTTATATAATATAGACTTATAGAAAGAGACCTTCTAAAAACGTTAAAATGTATTACCGGCACTCGAAACCTTAAATTAGAGTGAATAAATGAAGACTCGGCACACCACTTCTGAAAGGTTGCCGACCCCTGCTGTAGGAGCTAGGACGGGAAGAAACCTGAGGTGTTGGGGGGGAAAGAGGCCTCCTGAGGGATTCTTCAATTTTTTTAACTCTCTCCTGGCAACCCCAGTGCTGGCTGCAGCCGTATTTCTCTAATAAAGCTGCTCGTTCTGTAGTACTGCTTGTTCTGAGGGAGCTGATTGGTCACTGACTGTACCAATGCGCTGCCTTTTCCCTAGGGATTCCGAGTGGCTTACGTGGTGTTTAAGAATCCGGCTGGGGTACAGGCAGCCAAGTCCCTATCGCTGCAGGGCCCCCTGGTGATATCTTCGGAGAGTCACCCTGTGAAAACCGGTATCCACAGTAAGTCACCTTATGCTCTCTAGACTTGTCGGGGGGAGGGTGTATCAAAGAGGTGTCTCATCGTGGCTATACCCCACGCCATAACAGTGCCATCCAGGTTGTGTGTCAATCACCCCTCAACAGTGATTCTCATGTGCCCCACGTTGAGTCCAGCATTTTCCCTGTCCCCTCTCCTTTTGTTCTGCATTCCCTGTATTCCTCACTCACCCCACATGGAGCTTCTCACACTAGTGGAAGGACCTAGTTCCTGATCACAGGCTCCATAACCAGCTGCTCTGGAAGGGGTGGGGAGGTCTACAAGGGAGTTGCAATTGTCACCCCTGTATGGTGCCTTGGTCACTCAAATGGTTGTGCAGCCCTTATCCATAATCTTTCAGTATCTTCTCTGGTTTGGGGGAGTTGGCCCTGACTTGCTTATAACTGAGAATGAGACTAGTCCCCATTCCTATGGCACCATGCAGTGAAAGATCACGGTGTGTTTTACTGACATCAGTGAACTATCCAGCTGGGAGTGCAGTCCATGGCAGAGCCAGGATTTCTGTGGTTTGGCACCTCCTCCTTCTGATGCTGACATCCTTGCTTTAGGTTTAGAAGGATGTGATGCACTGTAAGGAGATGCTAGGTCCTCACAGCAGAGGATGTTAAATTTGAACTCTGAATGTTTAGGGCCCTGGCTGGCTTGTGTGGAGGGGCATGGAGCCACTCTGCTCTGACACTGGATTCTCCCCAGCCCTAGACGTGAGTGGCTATCTGCTATTCTCATCACACAGATGTTCATTGGCCTGTGTGAAAAGAGCTGGCAGGCATCAGCCCAGATCATGGTGAGAAAGGTGCCTGGATTCCATGAACCACTGTGGCCACATTTGTCACTCACTGGCTCCCTTGCTGGCCATCTTAGCAGGCAGGCCCTGGAGTGATGACATGGAAACTGACCACCTCTCTGGTCCCTAGAGTTGTTCTGTCCAGGGCTGCATTGAGGTATCTTCTTGGGGGTAGGCTCACTGCAGAGGCAGCCGCTGACCTTTTCCCTGCTTGTCTCAGAGTGGATCGCCAGTTATGCAGCTTCAGTGGTGGATCCGGCAGAGCTGAAGGCTGAAGTGGACACCTTCATGCAAACCTATGATAAGAAAATAGCAGAGGTAGGAAGGGCTGATGAGATAAACCAGGCATGTGCTTTCTTAGGGGATTCTCTGCACCTAGCAAGTCCTTGGGGATTGTCTGCTGACTGGCCTGTTCCTGTTGGACAGAGCAGCTCTTTGCGCAGCAGCAGGAATACCCGAGTCTTCCAATATTTCACATGCTGTCAGTTTGTCCGCGCTCTTTATCGGGGTGGCTGGCTGGGCAAGGCCTCCTGTTTGGGCCCAGGGTTGCCATCTCCCAGTTGCTGGCAGGCAGTGCACAGGCACTAGATCTGACCAGGTTCCATTACCCTCCCCACAAGCTGTGGTATAGTTACCACAAACACACCAGCTCTTGGATGCCCACATCCTCAGCGACTTTGTATCACAATTCTACAGCTCCCTCAGAACACCGCCCTGGGCCTTCTCGCATGGCAGAGCAGCAGGCGCTGGGATTCTCCACGCCCTTGGGGTGTGAGGGAGGTGTTTGCTGGGTGACAGCTTCAGTAAGCTGTTGTGGAATGGAACCAGTCGGCTCATGACAGGTTTGGACTAAGCTGCATTTTCTCTCTCATCCTCCTCACCTAGGAAGAAGCCAAAGCGGAGGAGGAGGAGGGTATTCCGGATGAGGAGGGTTGGGTGAAGGTGACACGGAAAGGCCGAAGGCCTGGACTCCCCCGGACAGAGGCTGCCAGCTTGCGGGTGCTGGAGAGGGAGAAGCGAAAAAGAGCACGCAAGGAGCTGCTCAACTTCTACGCCTGGCAGCATCGAGAGACCAAGAGAGAAAGTGAGTTGTGTAGGCAGGGGATGACTATCTCCTTGTTCCCCAGTATCACAGTCTGAACACCCCACCAGTCCAGATTGTTTGTCACCAACGCTGTGACAGGTGAGAGTGGCCACCACTGCTCTTGTGAATTCCAGGCACAGCTGCAGGACAGCCAGCCGCACCACTTCAGGCTGCGATCCTGTCAGATCTTGGCAGCTAAACGGGGTTGGTTCTGGTCAGTATTTGGATGGGAGACCTTTGCGGAAAACCTAGAGAAGTGATGTTGATTCAGATGGTCGCGTTTTCCCCTTCTGAGTTAGTGCAGAAGCAATACCCAGCAGAGTGCTATGGGGAGCTTGGGTTGCTATCTGAATGGTACAAGATCATGAGATCCTTGCTGTCTTGTTCTCATTGATTTGATTCCATGCCAGTCTTTTGTTAGCCCCCGTGTCCTTTCCAAATTCCTGTTTAGGTGGCTGTGTTCTCTCAGTTCCCCTTGAATTCCCAGTGAATATCATTTTCATTGGCTGCATACAGGCAGCTGTGTAAAAGTAAACAGCGTCATGTTCCACCCCAGATGGAACTGCAGCGCAGTGGTAGACGAGTGAGTCCCTATATATGCAGTGGGAATTGCACCACTTAACTTGAGTGGCTGTTGAGCCTGCCTGTGCTGGGATTGAGCTTGCTTCCCAGTCAGTAAAGAGCTTTTGAGAGCCGCCAGGGTACAAATCTCTCGAGCAAGGTAAATCTGCTGCTCTTGGTAATGTGGCCGTGCCCATCCCGGTCCTGCCATACCCAACCCCCCTCTTTGTCTTTTCAGACATAGCCCAGCTGAGGAAGAAGTTTGAGGAGGACAAGCAGAGAATTGTGCTGATGCGGGCCCAGCGCAAGTTCCGGCCATACTGAGCCACTCTGGGCGCTGCCACGTCCCTGGATGTTTCCGCAGGAGGGCGCGTTGAGAAGTTCACTTCCTAGAGGCCCCTCAGTGGGCTCTGTCTATAGTGACCCCGATTTGTTCCCTCTGCTGTAACCTGGGCCCTAAATGAGAAATCCCCAGTGGTTACAAGTGGAGGGTCGGGTGGAGCTCTTCGCCTGCTGAACATGCCTCTAGTGGCAGCGAGCCCAGCACAGAGACTCCCATTAGCATGACTCATGCAGTTCACAGGCTGCAGCCCCTCCTGTGCTGAGTGGGATGGGATCCTCCTGTAACCAGCCTCACCTTTTATCTTACTGCACTGTCTCCTCTGGACACCCGTCTTAAACCAGATCCCCCAGCAAGGGACGAGACCCACCCCCATTCCTGGACAAACGCAGGAGGGCTGCTGCTGAATCAAAGGCAGCAGAAGTCCACTGTACGTGAATTGTAAATAAACTGCCCCTGTTTCCTATGTGCTGCCTTATTGCCCTTGTCAGCCCTCAGCTAGCAGCTCTCCACATGCCTGCTTGAGTAGATAACAGGGTGGGATACTATATGCAGTGTGTGCTGGGCAGAGCTTCTGCCCTAATCAGGCCAAGCTAGTGTAGTGCCTGCTGCGGTGAGCCTCCCCCCTCCTCCCAGGAGGAGAAGTGAGGCCCTGTGGAAGGAGGGGAGAATGCTCCTCTCCCCCTGAGGCCTTGCCCTGCGGCAGTTTTTCAGAGCGCTGTGCTGGTGCTTGCAGGCTCACAAGGCAGGCGTTCATGCTTCCTTCCCTGCTGTCAGGGAGGCGGAGCACTAGAGTCCACCATGGGCCTCCTGCTTGTTGCCTTTAGGGCACTGAGCTACTCTGGCTTATCCTCTGTTTCAGTAAATTCACAGGAAGGCAGTGTCCTTGTCCTGTGTTTCTGATTGCAGGGGTGGTGCTCGAGGGGGCCTGCCTGTAGAGCTTTGGCTGGGGGAGGGAGCCCCCGCAGGCCCATGATTCTCCCCACAAGCCTCTCATACCCCTTCTCTCAAATAAGGGTGAATCTGTTTTAACAGTCCAGCTCTCTTTTGGAGTAAGTGGCCCCCTTTATTACAGTGATGGCAGCTAGGCTATTGCTGGTTTAGCGCATGGGAAGAGTGTGACCTCTTTTGATTGCCTCTGGTGTCCTTTACAAGCCAACCGATCACTCAGCTTTGAGTAGAAACTAGAAAATGTGTCACGATGGCTGCTGTTCATGGTCTAACTGTGAAGCTGTGTGTGTTCCTACAGGGTTGTCTGTCTCCCTCAAGCAATGCCACCCTCTACTCCCCTCCTAATACCAGATTGTGGCTTTTTGCTCAAATGCTGTACTCTCCTTGGATGCCCCTGACACCTGCCTTCTGGGAAAGGGCAAGCTGCAGCAGCTGCCCTGTCAGGCTGGAATGGATGTTGCCTTTGCAGCCGTTCCCAGGACAAGAAGTGCTCTGGTGTCTTGGATCTGCATGAACATTGATTCATGGAACTCAATTAGTCATGGTATTCTCTCCCTACCCGCTCCCCCCAGCAGAGTCTCCTGTAACCTGCTAAGGAGCAGAACCTGCACTGTGCACCCACTGGCTGTGAGTGCAGCTGGTGCCAGAATAAATTCATGTCACTCCTGGCTAAAATGCTCAAGGAAACGAGAGATGCAGAATTGTTATAGGAGGCAGGTACAGGGTGAAGAGAGGTGGAATGTCATACAGTATCAAAGAACTCACTTCTCATGTATATGTAAACACCATATCTATTATAAGCTGTCAGTATTGGCGGGGAAGTGCCTGGCTTACCCCTCCCAGTCCTTTCCAAGGCAGCACATCACCAAAACGAAGCAAGGGGGTTTGCTTCCTGCTGATGAAACTGCACCAGGTTTAACAGGGAAGTGGACCTTAAATCCAGAAGCTGCTGTTGTAACACGTGAAGTGGAAGTATGAGGTGGGACTCCTCCCTGTCTCCATTTGAACACACAACAATTTGCTCAGCTCTTCCTGGCGGAGAGTCCTCTGTGCCTGTTTGCTGAGACAGATTCTTTTGCCATTCCAAGCCACTGGGCTCAAGAGAGGGATGAAAATCATGTAATGAGCAAAACTTCAGGGCCCAGCCAGGTAACGGTGCTGTCTTGTCTCACATGCGAGGCTATTAAGCTCCTTGTCCTCTTTTGTCTCTGCTGCTGTCTGCCCTGGAAAGCTGGTAGCCAAGCCCTGATGCAGGAATCCAGGCTACAGCCTGGCTTTGGAGCTCTGGTCCCTTTTCAGGAAGATGTTGATGAGCCCAGCCACTACTTCAGGCTCATTCAGGTGGACAAAATGATTTCCAGTCACCTCAGCAAACTGGAAGTGCTAGAGGGAGAGAACACAGGGAGATGTGAACTGGAGGAAATACTTCTCCATGCAGTCTGTAGTTAGCCTGTGGAACTCACTGCAACAGGAAGAAATCAAGCTAAATGCTGGGGCTAAATATTTTTCTTGAAAAGAGGGATAACTTCATTAGCAGATGCTGTAGACATGCAAATTAAAATAAGCATAATCTCATCTCATCCTGCAAGGTTGTAAAATGATCTACTGAGATGGGCAGGCAGACGTCTTCTGCAATGAGCAGTACTGAGCATGGGGGCAGAGGCTGCAGTAGGGGCAGGCAAACAAGGCAGCTGACTAGGGCAGCAGATTCATGGCAGCCTGGGGCATACTCTGCCCCACACGAGCTGCTGCCGTGTGGGCTGTGTGTGTGGATCCTGCATCCATTAATGGTTCCTTAAAGTGCTTTGATCTAGTCTGGTTTCAAAGAGGACTAGATCAAAGCGCATTAACAAAGTGTTAATGCACGTCAGTGGCACCCTGGGCACATTAGCACATGAGGCAGGGACCATGTAGCTGGAGGGCTCAGCTTAAACCCTGGTGGTCTCCCCTTGGATGAGCCAGAGAATGAGGGGCCCCCCAGTGGCAGGTATGTGGCACCCCCAGCCTGCCCCTCCTGTCCTAGTCTCCTGTTCCTCCCTATCCCTGGTGTCCTACTCCAACCCCAGATACCCCTGCCCCCCCTGGGATCCTGTCCCCATTTTCCATATCCTAACCTTCCCCCCCCCCCATCCTGCCCCTGATCTCCCTCCTGCCTCCTGTGTAGCTAGCCCTTCTTCCACCTGGCATCCTGCCCCCTGTCTATCCCACCTCATCTGCCCCCATAGGCATTGGAGACAGAGGCCAAAGGGCCATTGCCCCCGCCCCCAACACACTTTTAAAACCTGGCTGGGACGGAGCACACCACAGCCTGGCCTGGCTGGCCTCTGGGTCCCACTCTGCTTCACACCAGCAGCTGAGCTGATCCCTCATCTACTGGCTGCTGAAAGGGCACGGTGGCTCATCTGGGAAGCAGGATGGACCCATCACCCAAGAGCCTCAGGATTGGCAGCTGGGAGGGTAAGATTGGGGGGGAGATAGGGGCTTCAGACTGGGGGTTGGGGGGGCTCCATCAAGGGGCCCAGAATGGTCAGGGCTTCCCTCCCCACATTTTTGCAGACCTTCCAATTTCCATGCCCCTGATCCCCTGGGGTCTGTCCCTTTCCCCAGTCCTCCTTACCCCCTGGTGTCTGCCCCACCCCACCCTGTCTTACTCTTCCCCAATCTCCACCTGCCCCAGGAGCTGTTCCCTTGCCCTGTTTTCCTACCTCCCACTGTACCCCATTTGTCTCCTCTGTATCCTGGGCTTAACACCCCCCCCAGGTCCTGGCCCCCCAGTCCCACTCATCCAGTCTCCCTATATTATCCCCCACATTGTTCCACCCATGTATTGCATGCCCCCCCGCCCGTCTTCATGTCAGGAGTCCCCACTGGCCTGGTGCAACTCCCCCTGCATCGTAGGGTTCCCTTTGGATTGACACCCAGAAGGGTTTGCTTGGGGGAGGGCGGATGGATGGACCCGTACGCCACAAGTCTCAGCTAGATCCCTAATGCAGGGCTGCTGGTTCCTCAGGATGGGGGATCCCAGTGTGGGGTCCTTCCAGGGCAGCCTATTTATGGAGGAGCACACTGCTTTACTTGCTGCACTGTGGCCCTGAAAGGGGAGTCACTCCTGTCTGTGGATGGGGTGTCCCCTTTGAAATGTGGGTGCTGTTTTAAAGGAGTCCTTTAGGTCCTATACATATTTATATCAGACCCTGGGCTGGGGCGGGGTCACTTACCCACCCACCCAAGCCAGAGCTGTAGCCAGGCTTAGCCCCACAGTTTTATCCAATACGTGTGGACTAGACTTTTCCTTGTGCTCTTATTTTCAATTTTTGTGCCTACATGGGGGCTTCCCCCTCTACCCCTCCACAAGTCCCCAGCATGGGGGAGGCTCTGCCCCTTACGCCCCTGCTGGGGGCTTTGCCCCATTGGCTTAGTCAAAAATTGTACAAACCTGGCTCTGTCTATGTTAAGGAATTGTAAACGTGGGGTAGGCAGAGCACTGATGTAGTGCCTAGAGTGGCAGATTGTCTGACACACCCTCTGAGGGGGGGCAGGGGATCTCCTTCATTTGAGGCATCAGGCTGCTGGCGAGGGTGGGGATAACTGGAAGTGGAGAAGGACTTGGCCTAGCAGTTGCTAAGTGGGGCAGTCTAATGCTTCAAATAAAGGAGACAACCAGAATGATGAAGGGTGTGAACTTAAGGCACTAAAGCTAGTCCAGTAGAACTCCCCAGGTGGATACTTATTTTGGAATAAGAGTGTCCGACTCCACACAGAATGCTATTTCCCTGTGTGCACAAACCCGCAGTGACTGGGCATGTCTGGCTGGTGCTTGCTCTCACCTTCAGGTTGGACTGGAATGCTTCCCGCAGGGGCTTCACAAAGTTCTGGCTCACGTTTTCAGCTTCAGGATTAAAAATTCCATCCTGTGCTCTAGAAAACAATCACAGAGTTCCATGCAACACACAGTGCGACTTGGGCCTCATCTCCACAGATCTTAGCTGCTCTCCTTCCCTGAGAGGTGAGACCAGACACAGACAGAGAAATTGAACTAGCTCATCTTGCTTTCCACAGTCACATATGTGTAGGCTGGGACTGGACTATATGACTGTGTTGTGGACACCAAGGGTTAGACTCACTTAATTGAGTGAGAGGAGGAAGGACCAAACTCAGGGGTCCATTATCTATCAAAGCCCTTGCTGAAAGAGTGGATTGATCATGGTGCATAAGCTCAGGAAATTACCCTTCCCAGGGCTCAGTTCTGTGAAGGTCAAGTTCTTAGGAGAGCCCAGGCCAGGACAGCTTTGCCTAGGGTCTGAAAACCAGCTTCATTGGTGCTTTCACCCAACCAACCCCTCCATCTCTCCCTGGTGGCTCTCTCTCCTCCCCCTTTGTGCATGTACATGTTTGGTTTTAGCCATTAAACAATCCCTGGCATTAGCCTCCTCTGGGCAGTAGGGCACAAGGGGCTACAAGAGCAGCCACTCAGGAAATGCTAAAACAGACAAATGAGAGAGAACAAAACAAACCCCACAAACAAGTACACCTCTATCCCGATATAACAAAAAATCTTACCGCGTTATAGGTGAAACCGCGTTATATTGAACTTGCTTTGATCCACCGGAGGGCGCAGCCCCGCCCCCCCGGAGCACTGCTTTACCGCGTTATATTCGAATTTGTGTTATAGCGGGTCGCGTTATATTGGGGTAGAGGTATATTTTGCAGTTTCCCAACTTTAACTTTTATGGGAGGCTGTAACACTGCATTTCTTCCACACGGTGGTGCAATGTGAGATTACAAGTCCTCTCCCTCCCCACATTTTCAAGATGTCTCCAGAAAATCTTTGTTTCTGCTGGATCCAGGGCTGGCTCCAGGCACCAGCAAAGGAAGTAGATGCCTGGGGCAGCCAATAGAAAGGGGCGGCGGGTCCTTCACTCTTCCTCTTCGGAGGCAGTTCAGCAGCAGCTCAATCAGGTTTTATTTTTTTTTTCTCCTTCGCCGCTTGGGGCGGCAAAAAAGCTGGAGGCGGCCCTGACTGGATCCAGAAGAAACAGCTAGACACTTAAGAACATGTTCTCCTAAAGTAAAAGTGCCCAGGGTTCTATTTCTGTAACAGATGGAGGCTAAGCCAGCTCTGCAGTTAGTTTCTCCTCCTCCATTTTCCCCTCAACTTCTAGTGGGGTTTTATTTTATATTTTATAGAGGTGCTCTAAGGTCCCAATCAAGATTAGAGACAGGTTAAGTAGACATGACATCAGCCCTGAATATCTTGTCCTTTAAGAAGAGGAGCAACATACAGAAGTGAGCAGGGGAATATAATGTTTATAATTTACTTGTTTTGCTTTATTTAAATGATCATCAATTTATGCCCCGCTGCCTCTTCTTGGAGGAGCTGTGATAAAAGTGGGCAGTTGAGAAGGGCTTTGGGGGAGGCAGTGGTAATGGTTTTAGATTAATTTGGGGGATGGGTTTTCCAACTCTGGGAGGAGTGGTGAAATGGGTAAGCGAGGCTAGCATCACTGGTGGAGAGAGAATTAGACAATGAGAAGTAGTTAAAGGCAGAGTTTTAAAGACCGTCACAGGTTTCTTGATATTATAATACTAAGTTCCTTCGTAAAGCATTTAAGATCTACTGATGAAGAGTGCTTTACAAAAGAGGTAGGTATTATTACAATGAGATCCACTTCTGAGCTAACTCCTTAGTGTCTCCTCCTTGAGTTGCCTCATCCTCCCTCCCTATTAGTTGGTACAGTATGATCTATACACTTAGGGCCCAGTTGGGTTCCCAGTGACATGAATATCTCTGCATACACTTCATGGGGAGCAGTGCTAGGTCTTCAATGTGCTGTTTGCCACCTGTTCTATATCTGAGTTTAATTTAACACCAGCTCCTCTCCAAAAGCCTCCCTTGTGAGATATTACCACTGATCACAGCAATAAGGCATCATGGGGGCACCCTAGCAGGTTATTGCACCAGCCTTAGGTGTCTGTGTGTGTGACCTAAACCTGAGAAATGCACTGCTACCCTTCTCTCATACACATCTGGGGGTGGCTTATTGCTATTAGCGTAGGGCCCAATAGTGTTATTTAACTTAAACGACCCCCACTTTGTGTCTGCCTTGCCATGTTTAGTGCCTCCTCCCCCTATGAAAGAGATCCCATAGAAGGATAAGAAAAGAGAAAAAACCTTTTTCCCTACTATTTTGAAAATATTATTTATATTACGGTAGTACCTAGAGTAAATTTGATAGTTCATTGCCATAATGCTCTAGGATGCATGCAATCCAGACTGGACGAGAGCTGTGTGCTTATTTTTCTTGTTAAAGGCAGACTCCAGAAAGCAGCTCTCCTACTCAGCCATTTTAGAATCTTTGGTCATTTCACATACGCACCTGCTCTTTTAGAATCAGAATTCTCCCACTGTTATTCCAGCCCACTCATGCGGTGCCAGGGTGAATTGGGAGTTGGGTTGGGTTGGATTGAGAGGAGGAGCAAGCGAGCAGCAGGTGGGAGTGAAACACACTCAACAGGAATTGAGAAATGTTATACAATGTGTCTTTCCACCATGAGAGCTCCACTACAAGTATTTCTCTCCCTCTCTTCCATTTCTGAGCAGGGTAACAAAGGTTACAGCATAGGGCACACGTTAGTGACCCCTTCAGAGCCTGTGCACACAAGTCCACAGATACAAGCTTTGAAAGACCCAGTGAGCAGGAGTCTCCAAGAAAGGGGGGAGAATCCTGCAGAAAGGGAAGAAAGCCTGAGCCTGGGGACAAAGGATAAGAAAATCCACCTTTAACAGGAGGGATGGTGGCAGCCCCTTGCATGGGCTGGGGAGTGGAGGCTTCCCATGGGGTAGATGATCAGAAGAAGCATGAATACTGCACTGGGGGTTCTCTCTGCCAGCCTAGAGACTCTTCCTCCCTGAGCATCCAGCAGTGCTAGCCAGTTGTGAAGGGCTCCTTGACTCAGCTTCTTCCGGATTCCGTAACTTTTCGTGACTTCTGCAGTAGCTGGTGCTCACAGTCCCTGGGCCAGCAGCAGCAGTTTGGGTGTGTGGGAGGGGGCTAGGGGCAGGGGGTTGGGAGGTGTGGGGGGCACTTACCTCAGGGTCGGAGGCTCCCTGGCTCCCACTGGCATGGCCCTGCAGCTCCTAAGCAGAGGGGCCGGGGGCTCTGCGCACTGCCCATGCCCGCAGGCCCTGCCCCCACAGCTCCCATTGGCTGCGGTTCCCGACCAATGGGAGCTGCGCAGCTGGCACTTGTGGTGGGAGAAGCGCACGGAGCCCCCTGGCCCCTCCGCTGCCTAGGAGATGCAGGGACACGTGGAGCCGGGTAGGGAGCCTGTGAGCCCTGCCAACCCTACCCCTCACCATCAGGGGACCCGGGCTGTGTGCCGCTGCCCGCCCGCCCCCCACCCCAGCACCAGCGGGGGTCCCAGGCCACCTTCCCCAGCACCCATGGCGCCCCCAGATCCCCTGCCCTCCCAGAGGCCCCCGGGCCCAAGTTTTAGTTAGGGGTATATAGTAAAAGTTATGGACAGATCACGGGCTGTGAATTTTTGTTTATTCCCCGAGACCTGTCCATGACTTTTACTAAAAATACCCGTGACTAAAACGTAGCCTTAGTTATGAGGGAGCAGCAAGCAAGAGAGAACCTGTGTCCATGCACTTTTCGGTAGGTGAACACGCACCTGCCATAGGTTAGGTGAAGGAACCCGTGGAAGGGGAATGGGACTTGCTCATGGAAGTGGCACTACCACCCTGTCAAAAGCTGAGCAGGGGGCTAGCTTTGTTTGTGTTTGGCTGTGTGTCACGGAGCTGTTATACACCAAGCTTATTTAATTCCTATCAGTATTAAATCCTTAACTCTACCTTCCGCACAAGGAAAGGGTTTTTATTCACACCTGCCCTCCAGTGCACCACCCACCCTGGGTATGGGCACATGGAAAGGGGTGGACGGTAGGTATTGGCTATGCTTGTGCATCACTCACATGATCATTAGGACACTGGCCTGGATTTTGTTCAAGAAGCTCACACACTGCTCCAGAGTCAGGGAGTCTTGATTGTGCTGCAGATGCAAAGACAAATGGAGATACAGACATCCACAGAAATTCCAGGGGGGAGGGGTTGGGGGGCAATGCATTCACTGGTTGGCCTGGAAATGGTATTTGACACAACATCCTATTGGCTATGCTGGGGCCTGGGTAGGACTTATCAGTGCAGCAGGGTTTTGCAATGTAGGTCTACACTGCAATCACAGGGGTGATTGCAGAGCACATACAGACATGCACACTAGCTTTAATCTAGCTAGCATGGCTAAAAATGCAGTGAAGATGTGGCAACACAGTGTCGCAGGCTGTAAAAGCCTGTCTGGACCCTAGGTATGTACTCGCACCCTAGCCCATGCTGGGGTCCGTGCTGCCGTCTCTCACTGCTGTTTTTTTGCTGTGCTAGCTGGATTAAAGCTAGCCCAGCTATCTCTATCCAAGTTGCAGGCCCACCGTGACAAGTGGAAAACCCTTGTGATCTTGTTAGGGCAACAAGGTGTCTGGAGCTATGAAACAAGGCACCTCTTTCTACCAACTAGGGTTTCAAAATTGCAGTAACACCAGTACATCAAAGCCAAGTGCTGTAATACGTTCAAGAATGAGAACGGTCTCAGTTCTGAGCATTTCTAGTGGGTGTCTGACACACAAGGCTACCTAGGCCCCAGAGTGACTCTGAGAGATCGCGTGACTAAAGTTACCCCATTCACACAAAGTTGTTAGCAGAGAAAGTTTTTAGAAAGCCTTTCCTAAAAGAAGGCTGGCTGAATCTCTTGCTTGGGTCCCTACCTTAGGGCAGACAAAATGAGGACTGAGGGCAAGTCTACACTTAAAATGCTGCGTCAGCGCTTTGATGAAGACACTCTAAGCTGACGGGAGAGAGCTCTCATCGGTTTAGTTAATCCATCTCCTGAGAGGCAGGAGCTACGTCAGCGGGAGAAGCAGTGCTGTCTATGCGGGGGGTTAGCTCAGTATAACTGCGTTGCTCAGGGATGTGGAGTTTTCACACTCCTGAGTGACGTAGTTATTCCGATGTAGGTCTGTAGTGTAGGGCAGACCTGACTCGTTGAAAGGTAGGACAGTCGGACAAGGTGTAGGATATCTGATCACCCCAACTCCTGCCCCCACTCTTCTTCCAAGGCAACCCCACAGAAGGGAAAACAAGCGGAAAAGCTGCCCCTAAGCATCCTCCCACTCTCCCAGGACTTAGGATAGGGAGGGAGAGGACTTGTTCAGGATGATCTGAAAGGGTCCAACTTGCTCTGCTTAGGAAATCCCATTAACTGCAGTGGGGTTTCAAAGCTGTATGGCAAATTCAACCTATTAGAGTGTAAAACAGTCTCCCAGAGGAAGCTCTGCCATTTATATAACTTAAGAGTGGGGGGGAAAGCACTGAACAAGCCTGGGGCAGGGGTGTTGGAACAATTTGTATAGTGGGGGAGCTGAGAGCCATTGAACCAAACTGTAAACCCTGGATATGATGGAAACCGCACCCCTAGTTCCAGCACCTATGGCCTGGGCTTTAGGGTGGTGGGAAATGGAACCCAGATGTGATGTGACCTAAAACGGGAAGGTTTTTTCCCTCTCAGCAAAGGGTCCTGTCACAGTAAGGGGCAGGGGAGAACGTCAGTACTCACCGTAAGGGCTCTCATGTCTCTGTTATACACCAGGCCTGGGAAGAAAGGAGAGAGAGTTATTTACACCCCACAGGGTGGGAATTCACACTGGGGTTCCAGCTCCCCCTCTGCTTTTTAGCTACCCCAGGGTCATATCTAGGGGGAAGGGGAGGAATGATGGATTGGAGATTTCTTCTTTTTACTCAAGTGTTAAATGAATTAAGCCCCTTGGCCTGAGGGGAAAGGTGGGCTTGGAACTCAGTTGTCGGGTACAGGAAGCTCCACCCAGGGCCGGTGCAAGGAAGTTTCGTGCCCTAGGTGAAACTTCCACCTTGCGCCCCCCCCCCCCCAGCCCTGCGGCAGCTCCCCACCCGCCCCTCCGCCCTGAGGCACCCCCCCTCCCCGCGGCAGCTCTCCCCCTCTGCCCTGAAACACCCCCCCACCGCGACAGCTCCCCCGCCTCCTCGGCCCGAGGAGCCATGCGGCAGCTCCCCACCCCAGCTCACCTCTGCTATGCCCCCTCCTCGACCACGCTATTGCTGCTCCGCTTCTCCCGCCTCCCAGGCTTGCGGCGCCAATCAGCTGTTTGGCACCGCAAGCCTGGGAGGGGAGGAGAATTAGAGCGGGGGGCGCCCCCAAATCTTGGCGCCCTAGGCAACCGCCTAGTTCGCCTTAATGGTAGCACCAGCCCTGGCTCCACCCTCCAAATGTAGTCACTCATTCAGATCTCAGGGGCTCTTCACACCCAGGCTGCCCCAGGCCTTGGGCCTAGGCCAGGGAGCAGGTGGCACCCCCCATGCCTTTAATCCCAAAGTCAGCATGGCTCTGTAGCCAGCTGGCCATCACTTCCCCGAGCAGCTGAGGCACCTCACCTCCCGGCACCTCAGTCGCTCCTCGCTGTAGTAAGATCCTCCCACTCTCCTCTGTCAGGTGGTTGTTGGCTTGTAATAGCCTGGGGAAGACACAGCATGTGGTTTTGGAGAAGTGGGGGGCGGAAGGCATCAACAGAGAAGATGATAGAGAGAGGGGGTGGGAGGGAGAAGACCTAACTAGTTCAGTTCTTGTACATTAGCCAACATATTCCAGCCCCACAGGAGGCAGGGGGCTGGCAATGGGGAACAAGCCCCTGCTCAGATTCTGGAAGAAAATGAATTGCTGATTCTGAAGGGAGGGGAAAGTATGAAGGGGTTAGCTGCACCTCATGGTTCTTGCCCCCACTAATTCTGTCCAGGAGAACACCCACCTACTGCAAGAGCTCTGCGAGGGCAGAGGTGGCACCATCTCCCACAGAGACCAAAGATGGGGGGTACACGCACCTCTGCAGCGCTTCTTGGGGGCTGCGTATTTTAGGGGGCTGGTGCTTGTTCTCCTCCAGACTCAGGAGACGTTCAATCACCTTCCTCTTAGAGTTCAGCCATGCGTCACTTTCCTAGAAATCAGAGATGCGGGCAACAGAAGTGATGGTATGTTTCTATAGCACCTTTCACCCTCAAGGATCTCAAAGCACTTTACCAACTACGTACAGCTCATCTGAACAACCACCATGGATGCTGGGGTGGGGTGAATGGCAGCACTACACAGCAGTGGAGGTGGTAATCAGGGGAGGACAAAGTATTGCCAAGGACACCACTACTCTTAGAAACAAAACACTACAAGTTCTTTAATATCTCACCTCTGACTTGGATGGCCCATCTCTAGAGGGAAGAGGGGAGTTCAGCTTCCTTTGCCTACCTAATCCTGGGCCTTTGTCCTGACCCTGCCAACAAGACAGCCAATTAGTGGTGATGGTCATTGGTGTGGGGTGTACGCCTGTCCCACTAGGAACTGGAATGAGATCCACCAAATCCTTTCTGATGACTATTTTGGTGACTTACATGAAAGGAATGGCCCTAAGGTGACATTGTCAAAGGGCCTCAGAATAGTCCCCATCTGTACAACTTTGTGCATGTATAGACAAGTGGAGAATTTACACCTTCAGATCACCCATTTGTGATTAACCTGCACTTCACTGTTGTGTCCAAATGGGTTTGGAACAAGCAAGTTCTGCCCTGGCACAAGTGACTGTGAAATTTGAGCATGCAAGTGATTGTGTGTTCAGAGGCTTGGTCTTCGCTTAAAAATGATGTTGGCAAAGCTACGTCAGTCGGGGTGTGAAAAAGATCACACCCCTGATTAGCATAGCTATGCCAACAAACCTCCCAGTGTGGATGCAACTATGTCGATGGAAGAGGGCTTCTGTCAACATAGCTAATGTTGTCAGAGAACTGGTGTTCCTACTTGGAAAGAAAAACTCCCGTTGGTGTATGCTACGCCTACACTAAGTGGCTGTGCTGACATAGGCTCTGTACTATAGACATACCCAGAGAGAGGCTATGTTTCAAAAGTGTTGGCAACTCACAGTTTTGTCAAGAGTCTCATGAGAATTCTTGCTTTCCTTAAAGCCCCAGCTCCTGGAGCCAAGTGGCTATGTGAAGATTTCAGTCTTTGTTCTTAAAGAAAAAATAAGTTTCTAGCCCTTGTGGCTATGGAGAAAGCTTCAAAATGTGACCCCCAGTGCAGCCAAAAAGCTCAGAAAGCAGAAGGCAAATAAAAAACACCAAATCTATTATTTTACATCATCTCATGATTCTAAAGCCTCATGGTTTTTGGTGACTCATGATTTTTGAACATTTGGGGTTGGCAATACTTTATCTATGATAAGATTGGAACCACTGAACTAGAAATGAAAGTCTTCATGCCCCATCATCAGTTCTGAGTCATCCAGCCCTGGGACGGTCTGCTACTGTGTTTGTCCAGTGCCTAGCACAATGGGGCCCCATTTCTGGTTGGCCCTTAGGTACTACCCTAAGGAACATGATTACGAATAATAAACAAGGGCATTGTTTCTTCACTATGAACTCCTGAAGCCCCAGGCGGCTCCAGACATTTATTGCTCATTTAGATCTGCTCTGACCAGCACTGTGCCTGGGGAAGAGACGGGAACTGTTCTAGTTATCTTACGTCTCTCAACCTCTTGTTCCTTTACCCGCTGCAATCGGAAATGAGCCCATGTCCTCCAGAAGGGAAGACCACTGAGAAACCTGCTCCCCTAGTGGCAGTACAAGGAATGAGCCTTCCAAGGGGTTTTTCTTTACCCTGTCATCTCTCTCTTCTGTGTCTGCCAAAGGAAAAAATCTAACCTGAGGAGCTGGGAAGAAGCCATAAGATTCCACCAGGATCAGCTTATCTACCATCTCAGGGAAAATGCAGGAGAACTGGAAAGAGACAGAAATATTGTGAGAGGGAGGAACAGAGAAGGGTCATGTTCTTAGCTGGCCCAGAACGTACACAATTCTCTTAAGCGTCCTGTATCGGGAGGGGCTTCCTCTCATCTTAGACACAAATTTGTTTCTGTCCCATGCAGGCTGCCCCTCAATTCCCCCAACCTATAGGGGCCATCCCCCTTCCATCTGAGTCAACCGCATGAATAAAGGCTGCTGTACTCACCATTCCTGCGACACTCCCACCTGTGAGAGAGAGGAGGACACTTGGCTTATATACAGTGAACACAGTACAGGGCAACACCCTTCCCCAGAGTGACAGCTACCAGGAGGATGCTAGGGAGTATTGGTGGGGTGGCCTAGAAGCGCTCACTTGACAAGGAGGCAACAATCTCACTTGAGGTTTGAATCCCAAGCCACAGGTCAGTGCGTCTCCCAGCAGGGGGCACTGTAGGAAATAGGGCAGGGATACTGGCTGTGGGGGAGCTCCCTTCAGACACCACACCCAGTCTGCCTCAGCAGGAAGCCCGGGCTAGTGGGGAGCTGCCAGCAAAAATGGTACAGTGCTTTGGGAACAGGGAGATGTGGTCACAGATGGGATAGATCAGATCTGGGGCATCAAACCCACCAGGGAGAGGAACATTTTTAATTATGGTCCATGGCCCAAGGGATAAGTTTAGGGGTACTTGATCCCCTCAATTCACAGCATTTCTCCCACCGATGGCAATCAAGGATAGAATATGGACTGTATGTAGTAACAGTGAGGATATCAGGAAGTCCTGCTAGTTACATTCAGTTTCACTCAGGGGGAGAATACTGTCACCTTTAGGCCTCCATGCTTTCCTCTGTGTTCCCTCCCTTTCCTGTTCTCCTTTCTCCCTCCCTTCCTATCTCCCCTTCTTTCTCCAGAGCAAAAGCAAGAAGGAGGGAGGAGAGGGAGCCATTCCTTTCCTGCACCATGTCTCAATTTCCCCATGGACTTCATACCCACCCCATTTCCCATCCCATCTGACAAAGTGATGAACATCTAAAGAGTTTGTGATATGTAAAGTGTCATCCTTAGGATTTAAAGTTAATCTCCTGATGAGATCAGTAAGAGAGTTCTCGGAGGCTACATCTTAAAGAGCCATTGTTTCAGGCTCTCTGCCAACTCAGGAAGACGGCACTGCGTTGATTGAAACCCACTTTGCATTTGGACTGTTTTTCTTGTACTCAAGAGGCCAAGACATTTAGTTCTTTTTAAAGGAGTGCTTAGATGATTGTGTGTAATTCGAATGGGGTGTGGGCCACATAATTGCATCAAGTGGGAGGGGTGCTTGGCACTTCAAGAGAAAATACTGCAGTCTATTCTCTCCCAAAAGAAAGTGATGCAAGTTAATCATTCACCAATGTTTGCTGGCGTCAAACTGCCATTGGGACAAGTGTCACTTACCCAAACTGTGGCCCATTAGAGTAAATCGACTCCACTTCAAGGCTAAAAAGCAACAGATAAAACACTGGATTAAATACAGCAGCAGTGATGTGTTGCCACTCACCCCTTCCCTACGCACAGGGACCTAAAGAGCCTTCACTGATGTTTTGCTTCCTAGTCAGGAAATAGGATGGATTAGTAGGCCAGGCTTACAGGGACCAACCTCCTCCTGCCTCAGCTTCTCACTGCCTGTGAGCTGGTACCAGGCAGTTCCCTCTGGCTCATAGATCTCACCTGCCACAGCCGTTCCCATTCAGGGCAAGTCCTTGGGCCCATCAGTCAGACAAAGGAGCCTGGCTGCATTCTGCACTGTAGGAAAGACGAGCCTCTGAATGCTCTGCTGTGGAGCATTCATAGGGAACGACAGGCATTCATAGGGAATTCATAGGGCGGACGGGGCCATGGTCCTGGGGAGGGACTGTTATTACTCTTAGTGAAAACGTGTGGCATAATGCAGCATGCCAGGCTCCTAAATCACATGATGCATTTTCATAACAGCCCTTTAGGTTTGTGGAAATCAGCCTGGAAGTTACAGGCCCGTCCATCCTGCTCCTATAAATGTGCCCTGGCATCTTCAAGACAGGGTTTGCACTGCAGCACTTCAAAGGAAAGGGATGTGCGCTCCTTCGGCTCTGGGGAGATGGATGGTGGTACTGAGCAGCGGACAGCTGCTTTTCCAGTTTCACTACCAGGCAGGAAATCGGACCAGGTGGTGTGGAGGATTTGCAGAGTCCTGGTCACGTCTGCTTTTGTTTATGGCTGACCCTGTTGTAAAACACAAAAACTGACTCCATGCACCCAGTGGCGAGTCACGGAGAAAGGTTCGATAGGAAGAATTTAGAGCCTCTTCTAACACTGGTCTGAGCGGGGGAGCAGAGCGCAGACCGTTGAAGCCTGGGGGCTGGTTGGTAAGAAGGAGCGAGCCTGGCAGCACACAGATCCATTGGACACATCAGCAGGTCAGTAACTGCTGCTCTTATGGGGTTTTATTTCTATCACATGGTTTCATGTTTCTCGCTCTGGAAAAAGTGTCAGAAACTGGGCTCTTCATCCAGGCTGCGGGTGCAGAGCGCTGCTCTTGGGTGCTGGTGGACCTGCAGCTTTGGAGAAGGGACTCTCTTGTGCTTGCACCTTGGTTCCTGCTGTGGTCAAGGCTCAGCTCCTGACTCGGGTCCCATGGTGCCTGGAGCCCAGGTAAGCAGCATTATCCCCCCTCTGCACCTAGCGCATTTTCTGGATGAAGGGGTCTTTGAAGGGGCTCAGTCTGGCTAAAGCCAAAGTCAAGGAGGAGTCTGGCCTAGGGGGCTATCCAGAGGATGGATCACGGTGAGGCCAGGAGGAAGCAGAGGATAACTGGTCATGGGGGGGTGGGGTGTGAGAGGAGTCCTGCCTGGCTGTGGAGTCAGGAACACAAAGCTCCCTGCCCTGCGAGTCCTCCCAGCCTGCTCACCTGCTGTCACCCTGCGGATCTCGCTCACGTAGTCCAGGAAGTGGTAAGGAAAGCCCGCGGGCCGGTGGGATGACAGGCCGTGGCCCCCAAAATCCATTGCCATGTAATAGTAATCTGAAAGAGAGGCAGGGGCGACAGTAAGTCACAGAGTAGCCTCCCTCCCCGCAGCAGCAAACCAGAGGCTCTACCATAACAGATCTGCCCCACCTTTAGGGAGCGATGGGATGAGTCTGTTGAAGGTGTTGGCATTGTCCAGCCAGCCATGCAAGCAGAGCACAGGACGGCCTTGCGGGGATCCCCAGGCCTTGGCTGCAATGTGGCCCCAAGGAACTGGGAACTTTAACTCCGAGACCATGCCTGAAATACAACATACATCAGCAAATTACCTCACCCGAACACTGCAGCCTCATTGCTCAGTTTGGGTGCTGTGAGAGTCATCACACAGCGCTCAGAACAGGTAGAGGGCTACACAGGTGCCAGCTGTGAGTCACCTAGCAAACTCCAGCCTGTGCTTATGTAGTAACTGTTTGCCACCCCCAACCCTGGGCCTGACCCACCTCCTCCTGGCCTCTCACTAGTCCTTGCCCATGTACAGCCTTGCAATCACGTCCCTCCTCTTCCTCCCACATCCCAGCTCCCCCTGTTTCACCAGCTGTCCAGTGAGTGATGAGCTGGACCCAGGATCTTACCCCCTTTAATCACAGAGGTTATTTGTTGAGATGTTTTGGGGTTTCTTTCTGGTAAGTTCTGACCCCCAGAGACCTTTCCTTTGGGATTTCCCTACCCCTAGGTCACTAGCAGCTGCCCTCTCTGGTAGCTAGCACCATCAGCACGACTGACTGCACCTTCCAGGGCAACATGCCAGTGATGCTCCTTAACTGCCAGGAAGGGGAGGGCTTTCACAATAAAGCAACAGAAGGAATTCCCCTCTCTCAATCCTCTCCTGGCTCCTCAGCACCTGCTAACCCAGCTGGACACAGGCACAGAAGATCCAGAGTGGGACTCAAACCTGGATCTCAGCAGCAGATTCCCCTTGGTTAGCAACCCAGACACCTACCTGCCACTGGCAGAGAAGACCATTTCAGCAGCGAGGGCATCTCGTTTTCTATCTCCTGGAGCCTTAGAAGAAAAGCGGAACACAGTCTACTAGAAACAGTAAGCAAGGGGAGGCAGACCCTGACCTTTCTCCTTCAGCACTATAGTCACTCTGTAACCTGATGCCAGACTGCCAGAGTCTGGTCCACCTCTCTCATGGACCTTGTCACAGAAGACACTCCTCCTCTCACACAGTGTTTATTAGCATCTTCAAGGAAACAGCTCCCTATTCATCATCCACCAGGGGCTCCTCTACCATAGATCCTCCCTACCCCTACATGGCAAAATTATCACACCCCTGGGCACAATGTAGGATGCTTGGCAATACCTGTATAGCTTGGCATGCCAATGAAGTCTCATTTAATTGAATTCAATCAGCTGCTTCTGCAGAATGGCAGGAGATGCTGCAGATCATGAGAGATGTCAGAGCTGCTGCATGAAAAAATCCCACAAATAGAATAGCAGGGAGTAGCGCCTGTAAGGATCGAGGGGTATTGACAGAGCCAAGGCTGGTATTGGCCAGTCAAAGATAGGATATGGGACCAGATTACCTGACTCGGCATGGTAATCTCCATTAATTTCAGAGGCTCGGTTACCTCTGCTCTCAGGATCCCCCAATCATTGTTGCTCCCCCCATTGCTGCCACCTCATCCTGGCTCTATGCGTGGGCTGGGAAGACAGAGGCTTTCTGCTCTTTCCACCCATTCAAGAGCATATCGGAGCAGAGATTGCTCTTGCATGAGGAGCCCAGGACTTTTAGGCTTAGCTCAGGCCCCACACAAAAAAGTTATATTGGCATAGCTACACTGGTCAGGGGGTACGGAAAAACCGCACCCCGACCAACATAGCTATACCGACAACACCCCCAGGACAGATGCAGCTATGCTGACAGAAGAGGGCCTCTGTCAATGGAGCTAATGTCATCCAGGGAGGTGGTGTTCTTACAGTGATGGAAAAACTCTTTCTGTCGGTGTAGGCTGCGTCTGCGCTAGTAGGCTATGCCGACGTAGTTACATTGGCATAGTCTCCATAGTGTAGACATATCTTCAGTCTGAGAAGTCAGAGAGTGGTTCAGCCCCACTTACCAGCAAAAAAAATGTTCTATAATATTCTTGCGAGGAGAAGGAAAGCTTACTGGTATAGGGATACCGGCACACTGTACCAGCAAAGCGCTCCTAGTGTGCGAGTAGTTATACTGGCAAGTCTGTTAACGGTATAATAAAATTACCCCATGAGCGAAACGAGCTATACTGGGAAAGGCACAGCTTTGCTGGCATAGCTGCACCTACCCTAGGGATTTCTCCCAACCCAGTTATGTCAGATCACGACTCTTCACACCCCTGACTAACAGCTGTGCTGACAGAAGTCCCTAGTGTAGAACTGCCCCTAGAGTAAGACACTTAAGGCCGGAACTTTTGCTGGTATAAAGCAAATATGCCAGTTTACCCTCACTGCGGACATGGCCCTTAAGTTTCAAGAAGCCAGGCAGCTTGAGACAAGGAACACACAGCCTCTCTGCACTAGGGTGTTGGTCCAATTCCAGCCCCTGGTTGGATGTGTCCTTGACCAGGCTGTACTAGAAACTTTTGCCAGTCTAGCAATGTCAGTTAGAGGTGGGATTTTTTTCACGACATTTCTATTCCACCAAAAGCCCTAGTGTAGAATCAGTTATAGTGGCAGAAAGTGACTTTACCAGGAGAGCTGATTTCATTAGTGCCATATATTCTCTTGGCAAAAGAACTCTCTCATCAATATAAGCTAGGGCTGTGCGAGGAGGGTTTGCTGGCATAGCTATAGTAGCGGCAAACCTTTTCTAATGCAGATTAGGCCAAAGTCATCCCAACTTGCTTCACAAAAGCTCTTTGGTAGGATCTGGTCTGATTCCCAGCAGGACGAGTCCAGATACCAAAACTCAGCATCCTGTCCACCTGGCCCCTGCCTTTGCAGCCTCAGCAAACAGGCCAAGGACTGAGAGCACCAGAGAGAATTAACTGACCCCTTAGCTGTGGTCCCCCTGGGCTGAGGCACAGTGGGAAACTCCATTGCTACCTACTCAGCCCGTACTTATCTCAGAAACTACAAGCCAGGATTTCGCTCTGACACCCTCCCCAGCACTAGCCTCACTCAGTCAGTACAAAGGGGAGATTTCTAAAAGGAGGAAGCTAGGTAAGAACCACACCAAGGGGAAAGGAGATCAGAAGGCAGGAGGGCACCTGTGCAGCGGCTGTTCACATACCTCCAGGAGTCCACACGGCTGCGTCTAGCCACAAGCAGCTGCACAGACTGAGCCCTGAGTCGGCTCAACGCAGAGAGCAGGAAGGGAGGACTCAGACAGCCACTTCCTAGTAGCTGCAGCCGGAACTACAGAGAAGATCCTCCCCCTGTGGCTGCAACGCTTAAAGGGACCTAATACCGCCCGCTCTCCGCTGTAGCCTCATTGCTGTACACAACTTAAGGATGGTGGTGGGGTGGTGCCCTTTTAAAACTGATATCCAGCAGTAGTGATGATAACCGTACCTTACATTTCTGTAGCACAGTCCGTGCTGAAGGGAGCCTGCTTATCTGTGCACTGCCTAGAAAGGGAGTGTTTCTTCCACTGCTGAAATGCAGCCACTGCTGCTCTGGTGTATTCAGCTGCTCTTTAACAGCACGCAGCAAACACTAGGCCAGTGAATCCCAAACGTGTTCCGCCGCTTATGCAGGGAAAGCCCCTGGCAGGCTGGGCCGGTTTGTTTACCTGCCGCGTCCGCAGGTTCGGCCGATCGCGGCTCCCAGTGGCCGCGGTTTGCTGCTCCAGGCCAATGGGAGCTGCTGGAAGCAGCGCGGGTCAAGGGATGTGCTGGCTGCCACTTCCAGCAGCTCCCATTGGCCTGGAGCAGCGAACCGCGGCCACTGGGAGCCGCGATCGGCGGAACCTGCAGGTGCGGCAGGTAAACAAACCAGCCCGGCCCGCAAGGGGCTTTCCCTGCACAAGTGGCGGAACAAGTTTGGAAACCACTGCACTAGGCAACAGTGTAAAATAGGACATGAAGAAGAATGCTGTAGCCAGTGTCATCTTCAGGGGAGACAATCATCACCCAAACAAGAATTTAACCCCGGGCACCAGTAATAAGACCCCCTTGCATTTCCAAAAGTAACATGATCCCTTTTATGCAGTGTTGTTGCAGCTGTGTCAGCCCTGTGGTATTAGAGAGACACGGGGGTGAGGTAATATCTTTTATTAGACCAACTTTTGTTGATGAATAAGAGCTCTGTGTAAGCTTGGAAGCTTGTCCCTCTCACCAACAGAAGTTAGTCCAGTAAAGGATATTACCTCACCCACCTTTTCTCTGTAATTATCCCTCTTGTGAATACAAGGGCTTAGTATCTCTGCTTCCTGTGCCGTGCAAAACGCAGCACCACTGTATGTGTATGGGTGTGTTCTGATTTTAAACTCTTTCCAGGAGAGTTCCCCATCTCCAAGGAGCAGCGACCCCTGGTGACTATAAGCACAATTACAGCCAAAGGACTGCCTAGCCTGCAGCACCCCCTCCTGGACACAGATGAGACCTGCAGCTTCACCGCTCAGAAATTTCTGCACTTTGACAGCAGGAGACTATGGCATGGTCTACGCTACACGGTTAGGTCGACATAAGCTTCCTTAGGGTGACCAGGCCCTAGGGTGACCAGATGTCCCGATTTTATAGGGACAGTCCCAATATTTGGGGCTTTTTTTTTATATGGGCTCCTATTCCCCCCCCCCGTCCCGATTTTCCACACTTGCTATCTGGTCACCCTACCAGGCCCTGGTCTACACTATGAGTTTAGGTCGAATTTAGCGGTGTTAGATCAATTTAACCCTGCACCCGTCCACACGACGAAGCCATTTTTGTTGACTTAAAGGGCTCTTAAAATCGATTTCTGTAATCCTTCCCTGACGAGGGGATTAGCGCTGAAATCGACATCGCCGGGTCAAATTTGGGGTAGTGTGGACGCAATTCGATGGTATTGGCCTCCAGGAGCTATTTCAGAGTGCTCCACTGTGACCGCTCTAGACAGCACTTCCAACTCAGATGCACTAGCCAGGTACACAGCAAAAGCCCCAGGGAACTTTTGAATTTCATTTCCTATTTGGCCAGCGTGGCGAGTTCATCAGCACAGGTGACCATGCAGTCCCAGATTTGCAAAAGAGCTTCAGGATGGACTGAACGTGAGGTACTGGATCTGATCGCTGTCTGGGGAGATGAATCCGTGCTATCCGAACTCCGTTCCAAAAGTCAAAATGCCAAAATATTTGAAAAAACCTCCAAGGGCATGATGGACAGAGGCTACAACAGGGACCCGCAGCAGTGCCGCGTGAAAATTAAGGAGCTCAGGCAAGCCTACCAAAAAAACAAAGAGGCAAAGCCCCAGACATGCCGCTTCTATGATGAGCTGCATACAATTCTAGGGGGGGGGGCCCTACCACTACCCCACCCCTGTCCATGGAGTGCAAGGGGGGAGTCTCATGCAACAGGGATGAGGATATTGGGGACGAGGAAGATAAGGAAGTGGAGGAGGATGAGGATAGCGCACAGCACGCAAGCAGAGAAACCATTCTCCCTGACAGCCAGGAACTGTTTATCACCCTGGAGCCAATACCCTCCTAACCCTCCCAAGGCAGGTTCACGGACCATGAAGCCGGTGAAGGCACGTCTGGTGAGTGTACCTTTGTAAATATAATACATGGTTTAAAAGCAAGCGTGTTTAATGATTAATTTGCCCTGAAGACTTGGGATGCATTCGCAGCCAGTACAGCCCCTCCTTTTAAATGGCTAACCCAATGGGTGCTTGGTACGGGAAAGGAGGGCGCTGCTGTTTGAAACCATTCCCACATGTTATGAAGGTTGAAGAAGCTGAAAGACTGTGGCTTACCATGGCTGCCTGCAAGCCGAATTCTGTTGCCCGGCCCTGCGTGTGTCATCTCTCACACCAAACTGCCAGGCCCTCAATATAAGAGGCAAAATGCGACCTTGTACCGAAAGCACACGTGCTATGTAATGTTAACAGCTTGGTTCACCGTGAAAGAGTCTACCCCTTGTTCTCTAAAATGTGTCTTTTTAAATACTATTCTTCCTTTTTTTCCTCCCACAGCTGCAAATGTTTCAACGCTCCCCTTATCATCTCCATCCCAGAGGCTAGCACAGATGAGAAGGCAAAAAAACCACACTCGCAATGAAATGTTCTCTGAGCTCATGCAGTCCTCCCGCACTGAAAGAGCTCAGCAGAATGCAGAGTCCAGGAAAGCAGAAAATGAATGTGAGGACAGGAGGGACGAGCGAGATGAGAGGTGGCGGGAGCAAGATGAGAGGTGGAGGGAGCAAGATGAGAGGTGGCGGCAGCGTGATGAGAGGAGGCAGGATACAATGCTGAGGCTACTGGTGGATCAAACTGATATGCTCCGGCATCTGGTGGAGCTGCAGGAAAGGCTGCAGGAGCACAGACCGTTGCTGCTGCCCCTGTGTAACCGCCCGCCCTCCTCTCCAAGTTCCATGCCTCCTCACCCAGACACCCAAGAATGGGGGGGGGGGGCACTCCGGGCACCCAACCACTCCACCCCAGAGGACTGCCCAAGCAACAGAAGGATGGCATTCAATAAGTTTTGAAGTGCAGTGTGGCCTTGTCCTTCCCTCCTCCCCTCATCCACCACCCCACCCGGTGCTTCCCTCCTCCACCACCCCTCCCGGGCTACCTTGGCAGTTATCCCCCTATTTCTGTGATGAATTAATAAAGAATGCATGATTTTGAAACAATAATGACTTTATTGCCTCTGCAAGCAGTGATCAAAGAGGGGAGGGCGGTTGGCTTACAGGAAAGTAGAGTGAACCAAGGGTGCGGGTTTTCATGAAGGAGAAACAAACAGAACTTTCACACCATAGCCTGGCCAGTCATGAAACTGGTTTTCAAAGCTTCTCTGATGCGCAGCACGCCCTACTGTTCTCTTCTAACCGCCCTGGTGCGCGTAATCAGCGACCAGGCGATTTGCCTCGACCTCCCACCCCACCATAAACGTCTCCCCCTTACTCTCACAGATATTGTGGAGCACACAGCAAGCGGCAATAACAATTGGAATATTGGTTTCACCGAGGTCTAACCGAGTCAGTAAACTGCACCAACTTTTAAATGTCCAAATGCACATTCTACCAGCATTCTGCACTTGCTCAGCCTATAGTTGCTCCTTACTACTGTCCAGGCTGCCTGTGTATGGCTTCATGAGCCATGGCATTAAGGAGTAGGCTGGGTCCCCAAGGATAACTATAGGCATTTCAACGTCCCCAACAGTTATTTTCTGGTCTGGGAAGTAAGTCCCTTCCTGCAGCTGTTCAAACAGACCAAAGTTCCTGAAGATGCGAGCGTCATGTACCTTTCCCGGCCATCCCACGGTGATGTCGGTGAAACGTCCCATGTGATCCACCAGTGCTTGCAGCACCATTGAAAAGTACCCCTTGCGGTTTATGTACTGGCTGCCAAGGTGGTCCGGTGCCAAGATAGAGATATGCGTTCCGTCTATCGCCCCACCACAGTTAGGGAATCCCATTGCAGCAAAGCCATCCACTATGACCTGCACATTTCCCAGAGTCACTACTACCCTTGATAGCAGCAGCTCAGTGATTGCGTTGGCTACTTGGATCACAGCAGCCGGCACAGTAGATTTGCCCACTCCAAATTGATTCCCTACTGACCAGTAGCTGTCTGGCGTTGCAAGCTTCCACAGGGCTATCGCCACTCGCTTCTCAACTGTGACAGCTGCTCTCATCTTGGTATTCTTGCGCTTCAGGGCAGGGGAAAGCAAGTCACAAAGTTCCATGAAAGTGCCCTTACGCATGCAAAAGTTTCACAGCCACTGGGAATCATCCCAGACCTGCAACACTATGCGGTCCCACCAGTCTGTGCTTGTTTCCCGGGCCCAGAATCGGCGTTCCACAGCATGAACCTGCCCCATTACCACCATGATGTCCAAATTGCCGGGGCCCATGGTTTGAGAGAAGTCTGTGTCCATGTCCTCATCACTCTCATCACCGCGCTGGCGTCGCCTCCTCACCTGCTTTTGCAGGTTCGGGTTCTGCACATACTGTAGGATAATGTGCGAGGTGTTTACAATGCTCACAACAGTGTAGGGATATTAAAGAAGGTACTAACAGTGATTCCCCCAAGTGACAGTGACCCCCTCATAATTTGTCCCCCACACTTTAAAATCCAACAGTTTCACCAAGTACAAAAATCTCTTGGGTCTTCTGTTAAAACTTGTAAGCTACTGTCTGTAGAAACCATTGATTATATCTATCCTGTGAA